TGCCATTGAGAGGTATTTCAAAAACAAAGCTTAATTGGACATAACCAATAGTTAGTGGAATTAGGCTTCCTTCCCTGGGTCATATTCATGCCAGGGAGTTGCCATCTCTGAGAGGCAAGGATGGATGTATTATGAAGTTGTTTGGGGGATGGAGAAGACAGTGTTTAAGGAACAATGTTTAAGATCCCAAGCCAACACCTCTGCTTGACAAGAATGGCTAAGAGTGTAGGTTCCAGGCCCCTAAAACCATCCTAAAATGATTTCTGGGCCAACTCTGGTGGCTGAGGTTGGTGTTGGCTTCCACATTGCAGGGCAACGGTCTCTCGCTTCCCTCCCCCACACACCCCACCCCACCACCCCCGTCCCCCAGCATGACTTGTTTGCTCTTCATTTATGGAATTCATATGATGCCATTTGTACTGCCCTGCCTGAAGATGCATTGCATGCGTTTGAATAATTCAGCCCCTCCATTCTTCAGCCACTTCCCTCTGTGACTGGGAAGCCAAAGGAACACAAACTGGAGAACCGACACCACGCACTAATCTCAGTTGCCATGACAGCAGCCTTTGAGATCCTGAAATGTTCCGATCGCCAGCTAAACAAAATTGTTGAATGTGAACATTTGGCTGGAAGATTAAAAGGCTAAGGGGAATGCAAAAGGGCAGAACCTCCCACATTCCCAGCAGCCAGTGGATCCAATCAAATAGCTCTGACTCCTTAACCACAGCATTGTGAGCACTGGATTAGGGCAATTCATCCAGATAGTTAAAGCAGATTAGAGCTGCAATTTGAAGACTATTGGCAACAAAAGCAAATACCCCACTGTACTAAGAAATAAGAAGATTTCAAAATGTCTTTTGGTAGAAATTATATGAAATCACACATTTAAAGTAAGAAGCAAAGCCTGAGATTTTTTGTTTAAGTTAATTTAAATTCATCAATGTAAAAGGCTAAGAGGATTTGGATTCCAAAAGTAATCAGTAGCCTTTTGCAAGTTTGACAGTGTTGCCTACACCTTTCTCCCCTCCATCAATGTTTACAATCAGAACTTTATTCCCATGTTCGTTCCAACTTTAATTCTGAGCACCCGAAGTTGAAAACAAAAAGAATCAGAGAACTGTGAATTATTTCATGCAGAAGTAATTCCCAGGAGATTTCTTAGCATCATCCCAGCCAGAAAGGGGGGAAAAACACATCACATAATAAGCATAGTTAGAAGAAATCACATTACCACAACCTCCTGATAGAAAGACTACATCTGCATGCTACAACTTGTGGGATGAGTCTAAAGATTAATTTCACAGAAACACCACTCTCACCTCTCAACCAATGAGTCTGGTGGACACATACCCATCAGTTCCCAGACATTACCCCAAAGCAACTGCATTCCAGACAAGCAAAACCCAGACTTCCATGCCTAAGCAAGCTAACACTGGGGCAGGTTTTCCAGTACAGTATCTAACCACAGACTTTAAGACAATGACCAAGAAGAATGGAAATGGCCCAAGTCAAGCATTGTTAAGCCACAGTTGGCTTCACTGCTACCCGATGGTCCCCTTGGTCATATCCTCACATTTCAGAAACACAATCCAAATGTGCTATCCACTTCTTACTTACTAATCTTCGAGCCGCCCAGGCAAGCTAAATACCGAAGTGATTAGTCTCACGGCTCTGACTGCAATAGGTGAGAGAGCAAAAGTAGAGAGTGTCTCCACAGTCACCAAAACCCGGCACAGTTTGACTGCATAGTTACAAAGTCAGTGATCAGTACTCCCGGCCTGGAGTACATCCTTGGACGGAACTATTTGGGTGAAAGTAACAAAACAATGAGTGTAAATAACCCTACACACTCCTTTCCACAGAGGGAACTGGAGCCCTGTTCCTAAGGACACACTGTTAACAATAACACAGACGACAATTCTCTTTGGGGAAGAAACCAGTACGAAACTCAAGCTAGTGTCCGCAGCAGGTTTTCTGGTCAAAGTACACACGGACAACTTGCTGGGTGCCCAGAAGCCCTTACCAGGCTTAAGACACTTGGGACATCCAGAGTCTCCCACCCTATGACCTTTCAAATGCTGGCACCACAAGCAGCAGAAGCAGCAGCAGAAGCAAAAGCCAAACACTGCACTCAGGATAGCATCCATAAAGGATGAACGTCATAGGAATCTCACAGAGAACCCGAAAGCACTAGGAAGTGTAAGACACCCGGAGGCACATCCCACAACCCCAAACAAATGCACACAGAGTGGGATACACAAGAAGGCGACCGTATCCTACCTTCTCGGTTTTCAGTTTCTTAATTCGCCTGTGGCTCTCCTCCTCCTCTTCTTCCTTCTTGACCAGCATAGAGTTTCCCATGAGCGTTGAATCCGGAGCAGTTTTGCTAACTTCCCCTGCAGCCCCGACACTGCCACTCCCAGCGACCCCACAGTGAAAGGGGCTCGCGCCACTTCCATTGCTCTTGGCCCCAAAGCCATAGAGGTGACCACCGGAGGGGGCCTGGCCTCCGCCGCCATTCTGGTGGCCCTGCAGCAGGTCGTGCTTGTCTTTCCGGGATCTCGCAGCATCCTTATCCCGCTTGGCTCCTCGGCTGCTGTGGCTTTTCCCTGGCTTCTCTTCCTTGCTTTTCCCACAGGAGCTTGGCCCCGCGGTGGCAGCCGAGGTCCCGGTGCTGGTACCGTTGCTGTTTGGGTTGCCGCCGCCGCCGCCGCTCACACTTTGACCCAGCGCTGAATTCATGCCAGTAGCCTCTCCAGGGCGCCCTTGGACTTCCTGCCTCTTGCCAGTGCTGCTGATCTCGGGAATTCCATACAAGGCAGCAGAAGGCAGAGATTTATTAGCATCCTTAGAAGTTTTAGCCCTTTTCACTTTTGATTTGCTGGTTTCTTTGTGTGAATTCCCCTGGGGAGCGGAGGGCTGAACAGAAGCAAATTTTAGGCCATCAGCTAAGGCTGAGGTAGCACAGGTCCCATTGGAGGCCGGACCTCCACAATCCTTAGTGTTGTTGGTAGTGGTGTTGGTGGAATTATTCATCTCAAATTTCTGTCTGTCCTTTTCCAAATCGGCGTCCAAATCAATGATTAAATTTCCAACCCCGATTTCCCAATCATCGCCACTGTCATAAGTATCAACTGTATTTGGATCCACACCTTTTCCTGCAGTGGAAACGTTCACGGACATCCTGAAGATGAGCTCTCGAGATTAAAAATCCGATGAACTTTCCTTGAGAGATGAGGGGACATTCGTTTAGCTCCTCTGGGCTTTCTCGTAAAGAAAAAAATTTTTTTCTTCTAATTTTCCTCTTCTTTTTCCTGCCCCCAAAAACGTGTCCAGGGATCTCACTCCCTTCACTCCAGGTCCACCTTCTCCTGTAGAGGGGGGAAAAAGTCGAATATTTCTTGTCTGGGTATTACCAAAATAGAAAACCATTAATACTGGGGAGTTATTAAGGGGCACAGGGAAGGACAGAGAAGAGGGGGCTCATTATTGTCTTCACAGTCTAATACCAGGTTTAAAGGAAAACAGCCAGACTTGAAAAGCACCCCCCTGACAATAAGCATCTTACAGTAGCTAAAACGAAAATCCCTCTAAACAGCAGGGGGATAGCCAGTTCTTTAAAAGCATTAAAATATCTCCAAGGATCTGATTCAAGCCCAGAAAGGTTTTGTGGCTTTTTTTTTTTTTTTAGTTGAACATTTTTTATTTTTGCCTAGCACATGTGCTATATCAACCCCAGGAAGAGATTCTGGACATTCATACAAGAAAAACACCCTGTTAAACATCCCCTAAACATGGTCTGGGGCTTGCAATGTAAAAACAAAACAAACAAACAAACAAAAAACAGGCCCTCAAAGTTCTCTAGGACTGGTATTCAAAATGATGTCACTAAGTTTTCCTTATTTCTAATTTTAATACTCCTTACTAATTGTCTAGACAATCTAGGTTTTGTTCTCCACAAGAAACAGAAAAACAACAGTAGTTCCTCTCTCACACACATACCTACCACCCCCTTCTCCAACAGTTACACGTTCTTTATGAAATATACACAGACCTCTTTAAGAGTATTTTTCTCAGTAAAAGGACAGCGTGAGAGGAAAGGTTAAATATCTGCCTTTTTGAGAGAGAAAAAAAGAAAGAAAAATCTATCTAAATAATTTTGCCATACCCCTGGGTCACAGAACTGCTCAGTCTGTTAAATATTGTGCTACTGCCTGTAGGGAAACTGATTAAGACGTACACTTTAAGTGATCTGAGCCAAGGTGGCCTCAGTGACCACAAATGAGTGTGTGTTTGACAAAGAGCAGTTAAAACAGTTTTTAAAGGGATCAGCCCCCTTTTAACAGTTGATTGTCAAGAAAATAAATACACAGAGAAACACAGAGAGAGAGAGACGCAGAGAGAGAGAGAGAGAGAGAGAGAGAGAGAGAGAGAGAGAGAGAGAGAGAGACTGCTTACCTTTAAATCCTTTATCATTTTTTAATTAGGCCCGAAAATCAAAAAAACATTTCTCAGTCCACTAGGCGCACAACCCTGTGCCTCATTTTACTTAAACACCAAATGATCAAAAAGGAAGAAACCAAGTAACACATGTCAGCCAAAATAATCACTCAGTAACATTATTCCACTTCCCCATCCCCCTTTTGGCAAAAAGCTCTGGAGTCCTTTTCTCCTTAAAAAAAAAATGTGTCACTGTGCAGCTGAGAGACGCTTCACATCCACAACCCAACCACCGAAGGGTGTTTTTCCTCTTAACAAGCATTCAGAATAATAGGGTGTTGAGAGAGGGGGAGAGGGGGAGGGGATGGGAGGGAAGGAGAGAGAGAGAGAGAGAGAG